GGCTATATCGACTCGGCTATTGATGCTGATCAAGAATATATTTACTTTATGGGGTCGGAAACGTTTCCTTCTCTGCGTTACACACATCCACTTTTACCACAAATCTAATATACCCATTAACCCTTTTTTGAGTACGGGTATAAAAACATAGTTCTTTAACAATATTTAAGGCCCCAAATCTATCAGAAAGTGTCGGTTGGGGCAAATTCGATTTGGCTGAGTAATGTAATGTACATATGTATATTTAACATTTTCGTTGGTGGGGTACACTTTTCACAGCTTAAAATGTACCAAAAAATACCTACTTTATCGATATGAAAATCGTCGATGTTAATGTAATGTTAATGTAGTGTTAGATGTTTCGAGTGGGTTTTACAATTCAAATTCGATTTTTTTGTTCAAGCGTACGGTCGGGAAAGTCGTTGCAAGGTACATTCCAGCATATTTAAATTGCGAAACGAGCTAATAGAAAATAAATGTGATGAAAATTTAAATAAAGTGAAATATGCTTACATATGTGCATATTGCATATTAAATATTTTAGTTGTCTTACATCCAGTATCTATACATACATACATATGTATGTATACAGCTAGTAGGTGGTTTTCGCAGGATACCTTTTGCGCATGCTTTTAGTATGTTCAAATGTGTATACATATAAATACACCTTCACATATCAAGATTTTCTATAGATTCCATTCATAAATTAACCAAATACCGAAACAGTCAGGTACACATATTACTTCAAATGGATTCCAATTTCCAGATCTCGCGCGAGTGCTCGTTACACTATGTCTACGCTATCGAATCGATGCTATAATGAACCATTTTTAAATAAATTAAGCGTAATGTAACCTTTGTTATAAGTTAATTTATGAAAAAATTTAGCTTTAACTAATATTTAAATGGTTTAAATGTGTCATTGTAAGTTTTAAAAAAATTTCTACATATGTTTAAATCCGTTGGCAGCCTTTACCAACAGCGATTGTATGATTTTTCCTTCTCTCTTTTCCTCAAGATAAACAGAACTAACAGCACGATAAACCTAAAGTATTTTCTGTATAAAATAAGATTTGAATACAGCTTTGAAAAACCTTTTGCGAAGCATAGAGGGAATGAATCATTTCCAACCCCTTTAAAGAACAGATAACACTACCCGGCACGATTTTTGCTCAAGGAACCAAACCAACTTTTTTTTCACATAACTTGACTATCTTACATTTGGTTGTAATGAACTTTGCCTTTCTGAAAAGCTAATTGATGCAGCTATAAACTTGACCCAAGCCTTTTGTTATTTCAGCTTACCGGTTTGGAAATATTTAGCTTTCAAATGCAAAAATGATAATTTTTGTGCAGTATTTGTTACGAAATTTTGATTTAAAAAAAACAGGAAAAGTAGGTTTTGTTCCCTGAGGAAAAAAAATTCGATTATGTCGAGTATGATCAGAATTCGAGTTGACATAGTAATAAACGACTGTAATGAAATATACATGTACATAACGTAAAGTGATTAAACTTTTTCGCATTATTTTCTTTTTTACTGCAAGCAGTAATCTTCCGATATTGGTGGAAAAAGGTGTTCTGCTTCTAAAGTCTATTTTTCAAACCTAGCCAATTTTTCCGATTGAATGTTCGTAAATTGTATGATGCATTCATCATAAAAGAGGATAATTGATTCTCCTGTTGCCGCAAATTCTATCTTCTCTTTTGACATAATTATCATCTCTTTTTTAATTTTAAAATCTTGCTCCTATAGTAAATACCTGGTGAAATAACGAGCCAGTAATAACGATAGCGTCGGTGCGCCGAATGAATATTAATACCCTAATACCTTTCCTCTTCCAGCCTATATGACAATAGTAGTCCGATTTTAAGTATCATATAAGCTTACTTTCAGAACAGCGAATTTGTGTATATCTATTAAAGTTCAATTTTAAGAAAACTTTGTGAGTAAAAAAAATTAATACGTATATTAACACTAATGTTGAATTATTTATAAATTATGAGTTGTTAATTTAACATTCGTTCTTATGTCATCTACAGTAACGGACACAGAAATCCGGTCAGTTTAAAGTTAGCTAACATGAAACTTTAAACTGATGGCGCGAATTCAAAAACGTCTAAATTAGTCGGGAAATATTTGTATTGCATATTTTCATTTATTAGCTGTTAATTGATGACTTTTCTACATTTGACATAGCAGAGTTTCAATAAAAATTTAGCTATTAGCACCAAAATTAGGATGAGTAAGTCCTCATAGCACAATTTTCTAAGGGTATCGAAAACTGTACGATAAAACGACCAACCGCCGCAGCAAGAAAGAGAAAGACTACCCAAAAGGACCTTCAAACTAGGATCGTATTTGTAAACGATAGAGCGTCGAAGATCGGTTCAAGTTGGCCAAAGATATTAGAAGGGAGTTTATTTAGTCGGTAGGTCTTCAGAAGACAGGAGTTAACGGTCGTGAGCCAGCAAAGCAACCACTTTTGGCAGTAAAAAATCCTGAAAAAGCTCAAATTGGTCAAAATCAATAATACTTGGACTGTAAATGGGTGGAGAAACGTAATGTTTGTAATAATATCAAGATAAACCAGTTTGGTTTAGTAGTATGATGAATGATAGCCGTAAAGATGGTAAACGCTTTAAAAATGAGTGACCAAAAAAAGGTGTGGCAAGGTGACAGCAGAATGGTCTGGAGAATTTTTTTATTATAGAGCTTGGTATCTGGCATTAATAGACAGATAGGTAAATACGGTCAAAACAAATTTTTAGGGATAAGCTGTACTTTTCGCATTCTGATGCCCTCATCTTCTAGGACGATTCTGCTCCTTGCCACAGTGCAAAATTGGCTTAGTTATTGAATTGTGCTATGAACTATTATAAAATGTTGATTTTTAAAACGTTGAGTTTTCTTTAGCAAAATAATATTTGCAATGCAGGGAACTAGGACATTGGACTGGCCGGGACATGGTCCTGATCTCAGTCCGATCAAGAACACATCAACGCTTTTATATGAAAGCAGACCACCAACACTTGATCAGAATTGAAAAAAAAAAATGTAAACAAGCTTAACAGTTTAACAAAATAAACAACAAAAAATTCTGAAATCTAGTCTTACCCAGCTTTCGCGTAGAAAACTAGTTCTTAAACACACAGGATGTTAAAGAAGAGTATGTCTCTAGTAGAGATGGGCATGGACTGCAATTTTCCGACACGACCCAACACGACATGAAAATTTTCAACACGATCTAGCACGCACGGCTAACAAATTTCCGAACACGGTCCAACACGAAATATTATACTTATTTTTCATACTTTTATTAACATCGATTTCAATTACATATACGTTTTTATTAACATAATTTTATATAAAAATAACAATTTATCAAGGTTAGAGCTTAATAAGCGTGTACGGCGTTCATTTAATATTTGTCCCGAGGTAGAAAACACCCTCTCGCTTGTAGCCGAGCTGGCTGGAATATTTAATATTTTTCTATCTAAAAGTTGTAAAAGTTCATGTTATTTGCATTCTTCCAAAATTTTAGTACATTTCTATCCGGCAATGTAACTTTAGATTTTTTGTTCGTCGTGTTTTTTCGTGCCAATTTTGCTCTGAACGAACACGCACGCCCTTGGACAAAATTTAATTTTTCAACACGCACACGCGGGCGCGCATCGTGTCACGACGTGACACGAAGAAAACACGGTCCATGCCCACCTCTAGTCTCTACTTCATTACATACTCTTCAATAACACTACTCGACAAAATCGAACTTTTTTTTCCTCAAGGATCCAAACCGACTTTTTCTGATAGATATGGGGATTTAAAATTTTTTAAAGAATTATGGTTTTTTTTCTATGTCAAAACTTTTTTTTGAAGAATTTTTGAAGTCTGGTATTTTTTATTTAAGCTTTTTTCAGAGGTAGCGCTTTTTTTTTCACATAGCTCTAGTATCTTACGTCTGGTTGTAAAGAACTTTGCTATTTTGAAAAGATAATTAAAACAGCTAGAATTTAAGCCAAAACACTTTGTGATTACAGCTTACCGTCTGGGAAATATTAAGCATTGAAATGCAAAAATGATGATTTTTGTGCGGTATTTTTTACGAAATTTTGACTTTAAAAACTCAGGAAAAGTCGAAAAAAAATTATATCCTGTGTCCTCTATTTTTTTGTGTATAGGTGCATTAATTTGGCGTCGTTTAAGGTATCGCTCATTAAAATCTATGGAGAGACTTTGGAGCTAACCAAACCTAAAAAATGAAAAAAATGAACAAAAAAATACCTTTTCGAAAAAAAACAAGCGCTACCTCTGAAAAAAGCTTTAAAAAAAATACCAGTTTTCAAAAATTCTTCAAAAAAAAGTTTTGCAATAGAAAAAAAAAAAATATCAGCAATCCATTTCTAAGCCCCAAATCTTTAAGAAAAAGTTCGTTTTGTTCCTTGAGGAAAAATCGTGTTGACTAGTGTAATCATAGAATCAAACATTATACCAGAACAGTTTTATTTCCTGATAAAATACCTAGAGTGAATTTTCCTATACAAATATAAGAGTGAAAAATTATTATTTATTGATTTAAGGATTCTTTTGAAAACAAAGAAATTTTGGTTTAAACTTTTTATGTATTTCTCTAGCCTTTTAGTTAGTTTAATAAGCTTAGTTTAATAAGCTTTTTCCTTGAGAAACATACCAAAATTGTATAAAACAAACAAATTCACTTATTTTTCAATGTCCGAATTTCTGTGTCCGCTACTGTTTATGATATACTGGTCCCTTCCCTGTGAATTGCATATGACTGCATAAATTAAAAACTCATAGACCAGAGTGGATAGAAACAGGCGAACATTGCTCTCTCATCCAAACAAAAACATCCAAACCGGAAAAGTAATATGTATTGCTATTTAGTCCATTACCCACTACTCATATTTTTTAACTAAATGTATTCTTAAATGTATCAATTGACATATTTTTCAATGATTTTTCGGGTTTCTTACAACAGGATGATACAAATTATATACTTTTTTAATTTGGGGATGGAGAAGCACGATTCTGAATCTTGGAATTCTCGTAAACAAAACCATCCAACGTATATGCGCCACATAATAGATGCAATGGGACTGTGGGTGGAGAAATGCAGCTTCCTTTTTATGAGTAATTGTAAAATTGGAAAATCCAATAAATACCGGAAAAAGTAATTAAACTTTTAAAGCGGACATTTGCACATTTTCAAGCTAAATGCACTGTTACTATTTCTTCAACCAGCACCGCACTTGCACTATTAAACGCACATATAAATTTTTGAATGCTCACTACATTTAAATATATATACATAATTCCTTTAAGGCAATGTAAATACAATTACAAGGGTCCACAAGAAACGTTGAGCACAGGTGAACATTTTCGTATGACTTGGAGAAGGAGAGACCTCTCTTAGTTATCTTGTTACTTTGTTTCTTTTTTACAGCTATGTATGATCGCCTGCACATTGTGCTAACATCATCGCGTTAATTCTGTCTAAACAAAATATCACATAAAAACGGCCAAAAATATATTTTTGGTAATATATAGGCATTCAAATTATTAGATGAATGGTGGTTGTGGAAGTGCCCGACCCCTACAAAATTTTGTGATATCACACTATTATAAGCGTATTTTCAAATATCGAAAATCTGTGTCATCCACAGTTTTGAAGAAAATCATAGAGAATGAATAACAAAAAAGTTTTCGCTTTTCCGGATTTATTAGGTCAGAATCAATTGATGTTCGGGACTTAAGTTGCTCTTCGATGACTTTTAGGATTTCGTTTGAGGATTTTGCAAAGCTTCACGTTATGGCGATGGGAGCACAAACTAAATCTTTCTAGGGTCTGTTGGCCAATATGTGGGACGGTGCCAGAGAATTCAGAGCGATTTCATTTTTATTGTCGTTTTCACAAACCAAATTCGAACTAGGACTAGGGTTGACATCTTATAAGATGAACTTATTGATGGGTTAATTTCACAGTTTTAATTTTCTTATCATTCAGGCAGGATCCGGTTTTCATATTCAGTTTGCGTTTCACTTTTCATTTCAAGGCGCTCTGGAATCCAAAAAAGTCGATTTATTTACTCCCTTTACTGTTCCTGCTGTTATACCCACGCGTTAGTGCCAGCTCATACAAAAAGGCCACTGTTATGTTTAACAGAGATTTATCGATAGCCAAGCTGTTCGGAGGAATTCAATATTTGTTGTTGACCTGACCAATTTTTTCAGATCAAGTTTTGAGGTTGGTTTAAAAAAAAATTATTTATAAAAAGCTCAATTGACCTCGAAATGGTGTCAAATCCATGTCAATGCATCAATCAGTCATCTATTTTTTTCATCTTGCAATTAAGATTCGTTTTGTTTCGGCGAGAAATATGTTGCCGTTTTAAAAAAGGAAAAGTCTTGCGTTATACGAATGCGGAAGCACCTGACTTTTCGTTTTGAAAAGTAAATCACATTTTTTTTTAGGTGAAAGTCGGAGCCTGCCTGTATATATATTTATAAATGGAGAGATACAAATGTGTAATGCATTATCACATGAGATCGGCAGTGCAGATTAGTATACATTTGTGGAAGTAGGCGAAGAGGCAATATTCATAGTTGAAGATGAGTTCTAAACTCGAGATATTATTCATCAATTGAGTTATAATATGCCTGCTATTAGACGATCAAACCTTGGACGACGACACGTCGTTAAATAAGTAATCGGAATGTCTCGATTAATCTAACACAAGTGGAACGTATAAAAGTAAATGAATGGAGACGTGCCTTTATTCCACACGCGCTGAAAAATAACCACCTCAAATTCGACCAGTATACTTGAATCGCGCTGCTTTCGAATACGATTGCGCAATACCTACTGCGCTGCGTTGATATCGGTGCATTGTCTACCGTATGCCAGCATTGCAATGCATTAAAGTTTCAATCGGAAACCCCCGGTATATGCTGCGCTGGTGGAAACGTAAAATTGCCCGTTTTAACTCATCCGCCAGAGCCATTGTATTTGAACTATTTTTTATTATCAATCTGGAGTTTATCTGCAGCCGTTAAAATATTTGATTTTTTTAAAGCTGTACTTTTATAATTTCAAAGCAAAAAACATCCAAACAGCGCGCGCCAACCAAAAAATTCACTCGGCGACTCTAGCAGTTGTGTAGCAACTATCCGTGCATGTCAGCAATCATCTGTTCAAAAAAACAAATATCTGAATTGTTTGGTAAACTTAAGAAAGGTTATGTGTGAAGAAAAAAGATGGCGACAGAAGTGTCAGAAATTTCTTGAACAAAAACGAGAATAGAAAATAAAATGAACGTAGCTCAAGAAAAAAATGTGAACACCTATGAAAAACATAAAGAAGCCTACCAATTTTATGTGGACAAAATAACCTGCAAATAAATTTAGAAAAAAATGTCTCATTAACCCCATTGAACTTAGTTGTATATTCATTAAACTGAAAGTTGACGGTGTTATGACTGTCAAAGATTGGCTTTGGCAGATGTAAAATTGAATTTTAAAACTCAATGAGTGCCAATAAATGTAGGATGATTACCTTAAAGAATCATTGTTATGAACCTAAAATTTTTAATCAATTCGGTTATAAAACGGGTTCAATTTTTAATATACCAACATCCATTTCTGTCGAATTATTAGCTGAATACATCGACTCTCCGGTTCCTATTGAGAAATTTATTAGAATTAAAACAAGAGATAAGAATAACAAAGATCACGTTCGCATTCATTAGAAGCTATCTGTACTGATGTGATCTGGGCGAATTGCAAAGAAAATGACGTAGCTACATATATTTCTTTCCCTGCAAGAAAGCGAGCGTACGCAATACAAAAATGTATGACGGTGGAAAATTTATCTAGATTGGAGGTCAAAACTAGATATCCGGCGCTGTTTGGCAAGACGGAATCAGTTGATAGTTTTTATCACGATGCTTCTCCACAACCTTTTCGGCAAAAATCGACAAATGAAAATATACTGTATCTGTAAATAACAACTATATTCCTAAAAAATACTGGGACGAGGCAATTGGAAGACTTTTTAGATTAAGAAATGCTAATAGTACAAGACTAAACTCTTTATGGGTGCATTAGAATATATTAAAGCTATTTATAAAATTAGAAAAACAACATGAACACAATTTCCGATGCAATTTCAAATCCATCACCTCAAAAGGAAATGTTGAAAAAAAAAAGTGTCAAGTTACATAAACGAATCAAGCCAATAACAAGTGCTTGGAATGATGTTGAACATCAAGATTTCTTCAAGCAAATTGCAGACATACCAAACACTAACTCTTGAGCATACTACCATCCCATAGCGATGGGACCATTTCGCTAACTAAAATTAGATGAACTTTTTTTTTTTTAAATCCAAAAATCCCTGTTCAGCAAAAGGTATAGATAATATATTTTATAAAATGCTACTATCTCTTCCCTTGGACCAACATGAAAATCTTCTTTCATTATTAAACTAAATTTTCTTCAATATAATTATTTCTGATAGTTGGCGAATAATAAATGTGATCACTATACAAAAAAAAAAGAAATTTAGACGCCTCCATAGTCTCAAACAACAGACCTATCTGCCTCCTAAGCGTTGTATTTAAAATAATGTAAATAATAAATAAATAATAAAAGATGTCAACATACCTCTGCTATTTCGGAAGCTAATAAATTTGGAGTTTGACATAGGCCATATTAGGTTTACAGTTTGTTTTTTGAAGAAAATGGTTTTGAAATGTGGCAAACAGGAAAAAACTGTTCACAAAGGCGATTGCCATAGCCCAATACATTTTAATATCTTTACATCAGATTTTCACTCTATAAATGGTGAAAAATGTATTCTATTTCATTATGCAGATGACTTTTTTTATTTTATGCTTTCACAAAGTCTTCAATTCGGCTAAGGACATTCTAAAAGAGAAAATAAATGAGCTCAATAAGGTATGCAGCAGTAATAACTTAAGATTCAATTCGACAAAACCTACCGTAAGTCATTTAAATAATAGAAGACGTCCATTAAATATAGTACATAACAATGAAACACTAAAAAAGTTAGATAAAGTAAACTACCTTGGTAGAATAATTGCTGCCAGTAATTCCTCAGAGTAACACATTGATGAAATGATTTCAAAATCAAATTAGAATAACATGTTTTTACAAATGCTCAGTGGGTGTCACTTTGTAGTGCATCCAAGCAAATCTTTAAATTTTTACAAAGCCTTTGTACGCTCCAAATTAGAATAGAATTAGAAATTATAATGAAGAATTTGGTATCATAAAAATCAAGGTCCATATCAATTTTCATCTTAGACGAGCACTAGGCCTAATAAAGTCCACCGCGGTAAATATAATTTACAATCTAGCATCTGAACTTCCACCTGAATACAGTCTAATATTTATTGCAGCAAAGGAGTTGGCTAAGGTTTTTGCCTATGGTCTTCCGGCGTCATCGCTTTTGGTCAGTTCTTTTACGTCGAAGTCTACGACGAGTTTAAAGACATTTTGAATGCAATTGTACCGATCACAAATGTATTTAGTTTTAACAGTAAAATTTCAAAGACACAGATTTGTTCAAGGGCTCATGTCCACACAAAAAATATGCAAGTAATGCTCTTATAAATTCTTTAGGTCAAGAAAAATGTACACATTTTAAATCTAGACACTTCAATTTGATTGTCAGTTTCAGTTTCTTTACCAACAAAAAATATCGTCACTCACAGCTGAGCTGAGCCATTAATAGGGCCTTGGACCTTGTCATTTCCGAAAACTTTCTTAAAACTGCAATCCTCACTGATAGTGTCAATGGGTTTATAAAGAAAAAAAAATACATCCCGGTAATTACATTGCCAAAGAAATAACAAACAAAATGGAAAACGCTCCCTGTTTACTCGTAGTGGAGTTTCATTACATTCCAAGCCATGTACACATAAAAGAAAACAATTAGCTGATATTGCTGCCAAAAAAATGCTAAAAATAATGTCTCATTCTTTGTTGCTCGCCGGTCTCTTAAAGACGCTAGAACACATATTTATAATAATATTAAAGAAGATTGGGAAGGAGAATATATTACCTACGCCACGGAAAGAAATAAAGGTTATACAAATTTATTTCCATATATACGGGACAACTCATGGTTTAAAGACAAAAACTGCAACC